GTTTGTCCCCGGCCCCAGTTGGGGTCATGTGGGTGGCAGCTAGTTGATGCGTCTCTCTCATGTCGATGTTTCTCTCTCTCTCTTCCTCCTTCTCTCCCTCCCACTCTATCTGAAGATAAATGCAAAAATGTCCTCCAGTGAGGATTAAAAAAAAAAAAAAATGGACAAAAGATTTGAATAGACATTTCACCAATGAAGACATACAAATGACTAATAAACACATGAAAAGATGCACAACATCATTAGTCATTAAGGAAATGCAAATTAAAATTAAAATAAGACACCACGTCATGTCCATATACAACGGCTAATGTTTAAAAGGTGGGTGAGGACGAGGAGAAACTAGAACACCACAGGTTGCGTCTGCAGGAATGTAAAATGATACAGCCACTTTGGAAAACAGTTAGACAGTAATTTTAAAAGTTGAATGTTAAAAAAAAAGTTAAACATAAACTGACATTGAAGCCCAGCAATTCCACTACTAGAGAAATGAGAACATATGTCTACACAGACTTGATTGCAAATGTCCATAGCAGCATTATAAACCTGGAAACAATCCACATTGTCCATCATCTGGTGAACGGGTAAATAAAATGCAGTCCATCCATATAATAAAATATTATTGTTCTATAAAATAAGGAATAAAGTACTGCTACATGCTACAATATGAATGAATCCCCAAACAGTATATATGCTAAGTTAAAGAAGCCACATACTGTATGATGTGTTCATATGAAATGTCCAGAAAAGACACATCTAAAGATACAGGAAGTAGATTCGTAGTTGCCTGGGGCTGGGCATGGGAACAGAGTGACCACAAATAGGCACAAGGGATATTTTGGAGGTGATAGAAATACTCCAAAACCACGGTGATGGCAGCACAATTCTGTAAATTCACTAAAACCCGCTGAATTATACACTTAAAAGGGCTGAATTTTATGGCATGTAAATTACACCTCAATAAAGCTGTCCAAAGCAACCCCTGCAGATTGTATACAGTGAAAGTGTGTCAGATTTACATATGGCAACAGAGCAGAGATGGTATCAACCTTGACGGTGCACAAACATTGCATAACCCACAAAAGATGAGAAATGAGAGGTGGGGGGAGGGGGTGCTGAGACGGTAGGCTCACCTACTTTATATCATCATGGGAATAAAGGCTGCCAGAAAAAAAAAGAAGTGAAGCATAAAATGTAAAGTGAAGCATAAAATGTAAAGTTACAAAGGTAAATAAGAAATGATCTTTAGCCATGGCCAGTTTGGCTCAGCGGTTAGAGCGTTGGCCTACGGTCCAGAGAGATCCGCGTTCAGTTCCTGCTAAGGGCACGTACCTCAGTTGCAGTTTGTCCCCGGCCCAACCAGGGCCGGTTGGGTCGTGTGGGTGGCAGCCACTCAATGTGTCCCTTTTGTGTTGATGTTTCTCTCTCTCTCTCTCTTTCTCCCTCCCACTCTATCTGAACAAAAAATGGAAAAATGTCCTCGGGTGAGGATTTAAAAAAAAAAGAAAGAAATGATCTTTAAAAAGTACAATTATTATTTAATGTTTTTATTGATTTTTTAGACAGGAAGGGAGAGGAAGAAACAGAAACATCCTTGAGAACATCGATTAGCTGCCTCCTGCATGCCCCCCACTGGGGATCGGGCCCACAACATGGGCATGTGCCCTGACCAGGAATTGAACCAGTGACCTCTTGGTCCACGGGTTGATGCTCAACCACACTGGCTGGCCAAAAAGTACAATTATTAAAAATTGGTGGAGTGATGAAGCCGGGGAAGATGCAGTGGGCTAAATGTCATCCTTCATAGCAGACAGTAATAGAGGGTTTGGAATTTCTCAGTTTCTCTGTCATTTCACTGTCATCAACCTCTCATTACCCAGCTGCCCTCTGGGCCACAGCGTGGGTGACGTGGAGGCACAGTTACTTGGCTTTTCGGTATATTCGAATTTAAATGTAGTGAACATCATGTGTAATGAAGATCAAGGCCTGGTCCTCGACAAATGTTAGCTGCCTTCGTGACCCTATTACTATAATTAGCAGTTAAGGTCCAGCTAAGGGATTGCAGTCTGTGCGGGCACCTCCAGGCGTGGGGGCATACTGCAACCTTGACTAGAAGAATGTGGGCTAAGGGGAGACGGGCTTAGGAAGTAATGGGATGAGACAGAGCAGCACACAACACTGTGCCAGAGGCAAGATCGGAGCCATCTGAGGAATTTTAAAAAGGAAAAATGCCCTGGCTGGTGTCGCTCAGTTGGTTGAGCATCACAGGTTCAATTCCCAGGCAGGGCACATGGCTGAGTTGCGGGCTCGATCCCCATTACGGGGTGTGCTGGAGGCAGCCCATTCATATTTGATGTTTCTCTCTCACATCAGTGTATCTCTCTCTCCCTTCCTCTCTCTCTAAAATCAATAAAAACATATTTTAAAAATGATAAAAAATATAAAAAGGAGAAAGAACATGCCAAGTTCAAAACACATCTCGAGAAAATAAGAGCGCAGGGCCCAACAGCAGTTAGGATGGTAACAGCAGTTATTCACAGGTGAGCTGACCATGGTAGTTAAGAAAAACCCTTCACAAAATACAAACAGCTGTTAACTGTGCATGACCTCTGCTCTAGGCACTTGGGAAGTGCTTACAGAATCTCACAGAAGCCTCACAAACCACCCCAAGAGGTAGACACTACTTTTCAGCTGGGGAAACTGAGGCCTGGAGGAGGGGCTCAACAGATCCAAGGTCACCAGACAAGTGAGCAGCAGAATCAGGATTTGAACCTTGGTGTGGAGAACGGGGTTTGTGTCACGGTGCCCGTATCTTCATCTCTTCTTAGTTTCTAAATTGTCTTTATGTGCCCAAATTTTTACCATAAAACTTTCATCATATAGAAAAGTTGATAGCATAGGAAAATGAGCATCCATTTTGCCATATTTGCTTTCTCTCGTTCTTCTGATGAACTCTGAAATACTTTCACGTGCACCTTCTAAAAAAGAATCAGGGCATGCTATCGGTCTGCACTGTGACCCCACTTACCAACACTAAGGGAAATGCTTCTGCCTGCTAATACTCAACTTCCCCATTGTCCCAAGGTTTTTGTTTCTTCCTAACAAGGTCCAGGACTCACACAGTGTTGGGGCGGTTTTGTCTCCTTAATTCTTTTTAATCTGAAACACTGCCCTGCCTTTTCCATTTTCCCCTAAAGAGATTATATTATTTTTATTATAGGAAAAAACAAAACAAAACAAGGCAAACTCACTTCCCTTTTATTTGTGAACCATATGTCTAAGTTGACTGGATAAAAAGTAGTATTTAAGTCCAGGGGTTGCTCAGTGGATTGAGCGTCGGCCCACGGACTGAGAAGTCTGGTTTCCACTCCCTGTCAGGGCACATGCCCGGGTGAGGCTCCATCCCCAGTAGGGGGCGTGCAGGAGGCAGCCGATCAATGTTTCTTACACATAAGTTTCCATCTCTCCCTTCATCGCTCTCTAAAAAATCAGTACAAACATATTTTATTTTATTTTATTTATTTATTTATTATTATTATTTTTTATCCTCACCCGAGGACATTTTTGCATTTATCTTCAGATAGAGCAGGAGGGAGAGAGGGAGGAAGAGAGAGAAACATCCATGTGAGAGAGACACATCGAGTGGTCGCCACCTACACCACCCCAACCGGGGCAGGGGACAAACTACAACCGAGGCACATGCCCTTAGCGGGAACTGAACCAGGGTCTCTCTGGTCCCCGGCCGATGCTCTAACCGCTGAGCCAAACTGGCCAGGGCCAATACAAACATTTTTTAAAAAAATAGTATTTAAATAAATATAAAATGTTTATTTGAAAAATGTTTTTTTAATGAAAAAAAAAATTTTTTTTAAGCAGACTCCTCACTCAGCCAGGCCTCATGAAAATGGGAGTCAACAGATCCTATATATATATTTAATGGAAAAGAAATACCAGTTTAAAAAATCGTTTTATATGACAAAGCAGCCAATAGAGAAACTAATAGGAATATAGGGGGGCGGAGGCCGTGCAGGGATAAAAGCTGTCCCCATCTATTTTTAGTAAGTGATTAGTGGACATTGCCTAAAAGTTGATAAACTAAGAAATAATCCAAGAGTTTGCTTTAGAGATTTGGAAATAACTTCCAGAAGAATAAAAAGCAGAAAAAAAGGTTTAAAGCGATGCACCAGGGATCACAAGCTATTTTTGCCATTTTAAAAAAGTAATTGAATTGCAACATTTAATTGGCTACGGGTGAGGGGGAGCTGTTTAAAGGGCTGTCATTTTTCATGCCAAACTTTGCCCTATTTTGTCTTTTGTCCTCGTGTGTTACCGGGACATTGAAAAAGTTGTATTCCTTTTATTTTATTCTTTGCATGGGGATGCACCCTGGCTCCAAGTGGGCCAGAAAGTTGTATTCTTTTGAAAGTAGGTTTGTAGGATGGCAGTTTTTCAAACAGGGAGTAAATAATTGCTGCCTAACCTCGATATAGGAGTGTGAAAAAAAAATATGCCTGAACAGCAAAAGTTAAGTTAAGGAACAAGATTTAATTTGGGAGGAGCGGCCGCAGCTAAAAACATACTGTGGCCATTCCGACTCGCAGATTTTGCGAAGGGGCTGCCAGTTGGAAGAAACAAAAACCGTTGTTGTTAAGAAGTGGTCAGCCTCTGAGCGGCCGTTGTGAGCCGTGTCGCCCGGCCCAGGATTGATGCAATGGTGGCCTCTGCGGTCGCGCAGCGGGTGGGGACGGGTGGGCTCTAGAGGACCCGGTTCACAAGCAAAGCGACCCGGCGCTTTCAAACGTGCCTTGTGTAACTCTGGACTTAGAGGGACACAAGTTAGCAGCGACAGCCTGGGACGCCGGAGGGGGGAGGGGCGCTGGGGTACAGGGTTCCCGGAGATCCGCTCCTCCGGGCAGGGCCTGGGGCGGAAATCCTCCCCCGGGCGCCCCTGAACGTGGGGACGGGTCCGGATCTGGGTCCCTACCTGTCCCGGCGCTCACCTGGAGGCCAGCGCGGAGGCGGCAGCGGGCTAAGATCCCCTTCCCCACATAGCTCTGGGAGGCAGGCGCGGGGCTCACCGGGGCCGGCGCCGCCCAGGGAGCCCCGGACGGCGGTGCGGGCAGTTGGTCTTCTCCGGGGGTTGCGGCTGACGTCGGGCGCCGGGGGCGGGCGGCTCTGAGACCCGGCAGCGGGCGGGAGCGACAGAGGGGCGGGATCCCGGAGCGCAGCTGGCGCCGGGGGCGGGCGGGCCGGACACCCAACCCCGGTGCTCCCGGATCGGGGGGGCCCGCCCCTCTGGGAACGTACACTTTCCCCGCAGGGTCACCTGCTGCGCCGGAGCCCACCATCCGAGACCCGGGTCCGCGGCGCACACCCTAGGCACCTCCTCTGCGCGAGTTCCACCTACTCTGGGGCCCCCAGCCGTGGGAGTTGTTCTGGCCTCCCCTCCCCCCCCAACCTTCTCTTTCCAGCGTTCCGCTTACAGCCGCCTACGCCATTGAAAACCTCTATCCCGCCATCTGTGCGCTGCTGGTAAATGGCCTGGCTGTGACTCCGACCCTGCGCCCGACTGAAACCCTGGGATGCAAGTTCCCGTCCACGTGTCTTTTCAGGTGTGTCCCGAGAGCAATCGCAGAAGCACGGGCCCCCCAGGGAGACTCTGAACCTTTGGCTCTGCCTACAGAGAAAAGCAATGTGGAGATCAAAGAACCGGTTACTTGAGAGATGCAGTATTAAACTACTAGTGTTTAAATATCTTAACTGCTTCTGGTTCAGCAGAGTAGTTGTTATCTTTTTCCAAGCTGAAAGTGCCTCATCGATTACCATTTTCTGGGCATGACCTATTGTGCCCATGGCTCCAGGCTGCTATATAATTACCCCGGGGAAAATCAAATCTTTATCAGTGGGTTCCCACTATTCCGCAGAAGCACACAGTTCTAATAGGGGTTCCCCTTTTTAGAAAGCAGCCCTTGGAAGGTAGCATTAATAGTCATTACCATTTACAAATAGCCCCTGTGATACTATGATTTATAGTAAAAAAAATATATATATATATATATCCCCATTGCTGGCACAGGGCTCCTAAAACCCTTGGAATTTCCTAAGTGATGATAGCAATAAAGGTATCTTTTGTTGTGTTAATGATTGACACTTGGAAAGCCCCCAGGTACCCTAAGTTTGAGAGTTGGTTGCCTGGGGGCTCAACCTAGTGATTAGACTCTAATCATTAGAAGATTGGCACTGTTCGGCTCACTCACTCCCCACCCTAACTTCAGAGGGGGGGAGAGGGCCTGGAGGTGAAACAATGGGCGATGCTTTAATCAATCATGTATAAGAAAGCCTCGGTGGAACCCCCAAAGAACAGCTTCTGGAGTGGTGAACTCATGGAGATTTGTGAAGAGTGAAATGCTTAGGGAGGTTATGGAAGTCCTGAGCTCTTTCCCCCAACCTATGCATCTGGCTGTTACCGAGTTATATCCTTTAAAAAATTTTTTTAAATTGATTTTTTAGCGAGAGAAGAAGGGAGAGAGACAGAAACGTCAATGTGAATGAGAAACATCAATCAACTGCCTCCTGCATGCTCCCCACTGGGGATGGAGTTTACAGCCTGGGCATGTGCTGGAATGGAACCGGCGACCTCTTGGTGCACGGGTCCACGCTCAACCACTGAGCCACACCAGCCGGGCACTTTAAAAACCTCTTCCCTTGCCCAGCTGGTGTGGCTCAGTGGACTGAGCATCTCCCATGGACTGAGAGGTCCCGGTTTGATTTCCCATCAGGGCACATACCCAGGTTGCGGGCTTGATCCCCAGTAACCCTACTGGGGCGTGCAGGAGGCAGCAGATCATGTATCTCTCACATGGATGTTTCTATCTCTCTCTCTCTCTCTCTCTCTCTCTCTCTCAAAAATAAAAATAAAAAATAAAAAAACCTCTCCTTCCTCCTCTAAATTGTAGATAACAGAATTAATCTGAAGGTTCAGTACCAGTAAAAATGGGGCCACGACTCATTTCTCCCTTGACCTCTAGTCTCGGGCCTTCACAGTTCCTTCTGATTGCCCTAGATTGCCCGGAGTCCTCAAATGACTGATCCGAGACATCCCAGAGCCAACTCTTCTGAATGTCAGGCCTCCCACACCTAGCAGATCATTGCCAGCGGGTTCCCCCATCGCTCGCTCACATCAGGCGCTGTGCCAAATGCTGTATGTGCGTGATCCCGCCTACGCCTCTCCTGGGAAACTGAGGCCCAGAGATACTTACTCCATGGACGCAGTGCAAGCCTCTTGCTTTGGGGGGCCACACCACGAGAATGGATTTGAGCATGGGGTCCCCAGATCCCCTTCGTTAAAACCATAAGCAAGGCAACACAGCGCTATGGTGAGGACCACGGGGGATGGTGTGCTTGCCCGGTAAACGTTACCTCTCATTATTCGTATCAACCGCCTTTGAAGCATTTTCTACTGCGGGTCGTAAAATTACTGTGTTATTGGTCGTGTTTTTAGTTTAGATACACACACAGTCCCTTATCCGAAAGGCTTAGAGATAGATGGTTTGATTCTGGGGTGTTTGTTTGTTTGTTTGTGTTAAATACTTCAATAGTCCCAGCAGGGTCAGCTGCACTTCATTATCACATGATACCCTCCAAAGAGTGTGTGGAGAGGAAAACACAGTTATAAATAACCTGAGATAAGTTCAGTCAGGTCTTACTGCCTAAAGAGTTTGGGGGTCTAATTTATGAAGAAAGGTTATGTTTGTGGATAAGAGATGGTACCCCTGACGGTGAGATGATTAAAAAAATGGATGCTCTTTATTATCCAGCACCTGCTGTGAATCAGACGCATAGAATATGCAGGTTCACAGGCACTAAGTGATTTGTTTCAACAAACAATACCTGCGCATTACAGATAAATTAGGAAAAACACAGGGGTCCCTAATAAAATAGACAACTGCATCTGAAAGGATGCCGAAACCCTTGGTGGAAGGCTTCAGGGAAACAGTCCAGAATGCAAACTCAGCAGATAAGTCATTCATCACAATGGGAAAAAATGTACCCATCTAGGGAGGGGGTGCTTTCTAGCAGACACCCTCTTAACTAAGCGGCTAAACAGCATCCCCAAGTGAGACAACCCGATGTCAAGTGTCTCTTGGTATGACACTACAGGAAGTACACAAAATTGCCTATGCAGAATTTTTTTTAAGTTAAATCTCCATTTAAAAATTAGGAAACAGTTTGGTCGGTGTGGCTCAGTGGTTGAGCATCCACCCATGCACCAAGAGGTTGCCAGTTCGATTCCTGGTCAGGGCAAATCCCCAGTGGGGGGTATGCAGGAGGCAGCCAATCGATGTTCTCTTTCATCCATGTTTCTATTTCTCTCTCTCTAAAATCAATAAAGAAAAAGCATTTTTTAAAAGGAAACAGCCCTGCCGGTTTGGCTCAGCGGTTAGAGCATCAGCCTGCAGTCCAGAGAGACCTGGGTTTGGTTCCCACTAAGGGCATGTACCTTGGTTGCAGTTTGTCCCCGGCCCTGGTTGGGTTGTGCGGTGGCAGCCACTCGATGTGTCCCTTTCACGTCGATGTTTCTCTCTCTTTCTCTCTTTCCCTCCCACTCTATTTGAACAAAAAATGAAAAAATGTCCTCGGGTGAGGATTAAAAAAAAAAAAAAAGGAAACAGACTTTGAAAATGGCTAGCCCAAGACTTCTTAAAAAAATTGAGCATATGAAAAACAAAGAGACCAAGGAGTTATACCAACAAATACAGTTCATGCGCCTTGATCGGGTCCTGAACTGACCATTACTTCGTGAGCCCTCCTGCTCATTGCTCAGTGCTGGTCTCCTTTTCCTGCCTGGTGCTCTTTGCTTGTTCCTTGCCTTTCTCAAATGAGGGACAGGGCTGTAGGTGATGGGGGTGTGGCTCCTGCTATACATTTGGACTGTTTTCTCTCCAGGCCTCTGCCCTGAGCTGGAGCATGAATGGGGAGCTTTGTGCTTGGGTGTGGGGCTTGCCCACAAGCTGGCTTCACATGTGGGTGGGTGAGAGGCCAGGAGCCCCCCTTCTGGCTGCCCCTCCCTCCCTCCACAGTGCCAGAATAGGACTGGCTTTTTCAGAAGCCAGTACCCACCCTCCTTATCATCTCAAGCTATCAGAGAGCTGGATCGCTTTAGGGAACCGCCCATCAGTCCTTGTTTTCCTAGATGTGAATGTTGGGTGGCCTGGGCCCTGGGGAACAGGGCAGGGAAGGTGCAGGGAACATGGGCAGACATTCGTCGCAGCCTGTCTTCGCTGTCTTTTCCCACTCCTGCCTACTCCCTGCAGCCCAGGGGGTGCTGGGCTCCCTCTTCCCTGTCGCCCTCTCCTGAATGCAATGACCTCCTCTGAGCCATGTACCTAAGCCTCCGGTAGATTTGTCTACCAGAAATGCATTGGAATCTCTCAAGTGTGGATGGTCTCTAGTAGGCTGAATAATTATTCCCCCGAAGGTATCCATGGTCTATTCCTTGCGACCTGTGAATATGACCTTACAAGGCAAAAGGGACTTTGCAGATATGATTGAGTTAAGGATCTTTATTTAAAAAATTTTTTTCTTCATTGATTTTACAGAGAGAAAGGGAGAGGGAGAGAGAGATAGAAACATCAATGAGAGAGAACATCCAATGGCCGCCTCCTGCATGCCCCCCACTGGGGATTTGGCCCACAACCTGGGCATGTGCCCTGACTGGGAATCGAACTGGTGACTTTTTGGCACATGGGTCGACGCTCAACCACTGAGCCACACTGGCCCGGCTGGGAGAGTTAAGGGTCTTGAGGTGGGGAGATTGTTCTGGATTATCTGGGTGGGTCCTGAATATAATCCCATGGTCCTTGTAGAGGGAGACAGGAATCCGTCAGCAGGGTGGCAATGTGATGACAGATGACCGCAGAGAATAAAGGTGGCCACTAGAAGCTGAAAAAGGCCAGGACTCGGAGTCTCCACTCAACAACTCCAAAAGAAACCTGTGCCAGCACGTTGACGTTAGCCCAGTGAAACCAATTTTGACTGATAAAAGAATAAACTTCGTTGTTTTATTATTTATTTTTATCCTCACCCAAGGACATTTTTGCATTTATCTTCAGATAGAGTGGGAGGGAGAGAAAGAGAGAGACC